GTGCTCCAGTTTCCTTCTCTGTAAACGGGGATAAATTTTAGTTTCCTACAGCTACAGTAACAAATTACCACAAAGTGAGTAGCTTAACACAAATTTATTATCTTACAGTTCTGGAGGTCAGAACTCTGAAATGGGTCTCATGGGGCTAAAATCAAGGTGTTAGCAGACAGAGCCTGTTCCCACTGGAGGCTCCAGGGGAGACGCTCTTTCTGTGCCTTTCCCAGCTCCTAGAGGCTGCCTGCATTTCTTGGCTTGTGGCCCCTTCCTCCACCTTCAAAGCCAACAACGGCTGGCTGAACAAGTCTCTCATATCGCATTGCTCTGACCCTGACAATTGTGCCTCCCTCGTCCTCTTTTAAGGACTCTGTGATCATACTGGGCCCACACAAATAATCCACAATAATCTTCCACTTAAAGGTCAGCTTACTAGCAACCTTAATTCCCCCTTGCCTTGTAACCTAACGCATTTGCAGGTTCCAGGGATAGGTAGTCAGCATCTCTGAGGGCCTTTATTCTGCCTGCCACAAGACAGTAATGTCTTCCTCATAAGGTTGGTGGTCACTTGTATTTCTAAATTCTTTCCATTCCTCAAGATCAAGTCCTGAAGACTGAAACTCATTTAATCAAACATCTTTTTTTTTTTCCTTTTTGTCTTTTTTTGTGACCGGCAACGGATCGCAACCCTTGGTGTTGCGCCCGCACCTCGCTCAGCCAGTGAGCCACCGGTCTGTATGTGGGATTTGACCCCTTGGCGGGAGCGCCGCTGCACTCCAAAGCGGCGCACTGCAGCAGTGCGCCACCGGGCCGGCCCTAATCAAACATCATTTGATTAATAAAACCACTCATGTATTCATCTATTAAGTTTTGAGTTAATGAAATGAAGCCTATGAAGTACTTAGAGCTGGCATCCAGTAGACACTCAATAAATGCTACTCATTATCACCTTGTGATACTCATAACTTTATAATCTCTTTTGGCAATATGGTCCCAGCCACAAGAATCCACTCCTTAATCTGAGCCTTCTGAGACCTGTGTTCCTAAAATCCAAAGACAGCATTGTTTTCTTTCTCACCACAACAGAGTCCCCCGTGGACCAACCTGTCCTCCGTGGCAAGGCAGACTCGGTACTAGAGAGCACTAGCCCTGCTCCTGGCTTCCCTCACCTGCTAGAGACGGGACACCCAGCAGGGTCAGTCAAGAACTCAGCCTGCGCTCTGGTTCTACCAGTGGGGTGACGTTCCCATCCGTCAGTACTGTGGATTCAGTTGTGGTCCCCGAAGTCCATGTGTTGGAGACTTGACCCCCACTGTAACTGCTGATGGGAAACCCTGTTATAACTGAAAGGTGGGGCCTTGAAGAGGTGATTAGATTGGGAGGACCATACCCTAGTAAATGGATCCATAAGTTGATGGTTTCAGGGTGGTCGTGGGTGTGGTTCTGCAGGCTTTAAAAGGAGGAGTGAGGAGTCAGCTCTCTCTGCTCTGCCATCGAGACCCCTGCATCACTGTCACCATCACCAGGGCCTTCACCAGATGTATTCCCTAGACTTTGGACTTCCCAGCCTCCCCCACTGTAAGCAACACATTTCATTTTCTGCAGCATGACTGCAAGAAACTCTCAGCTTTCTCTGCACTTTACCCACACACAAAGCCCTGCAGCAGGTCCCAATGCCAGCCTCATAGAAGTCACTGACTCCAGACAGACGAGCATGGTTTTTACTTAAGTGGATCCCATCCTCCATTGCGACCACACTTTTATTGAAGGCATTCATTTTGCTTCACATGCCAGCTGCAAATCATCTAATGTCACAAAGGGAAGTGATTCCTTACATTACAGGTGAACATGCAGTCGTCTCAGGCCCCAAGGCTTGTTTCTAAGCAGCTACCCTGATATTACTGAACATGAGGTCTACTTAGGTTCTGTTGTTTTTTTCAATGTGACGAGTATTGTCTTTTATTGTATCTGGTTCTCAGTTTCAAGATTTTTTTCCCCTCTATATCAAAATTGTGCTTGACACTCCTGGTTAGGTCAGACCCAGAGCCTCAAGACAAATGCTCCCTGCTTATTTCACTAGCTGCACCCTGGTCCTTGCTGAGATAAGGGGCCCAAATCCTCTATACTGGGTCCTCTATCACATGGTTAGCAGGTTTGGGGACAGAGGACCCTCAACACCAGGGTCTTCAGGGCCAGAGGAGTAAAGGGGCTCTGGGTTTGGCCTGTAGACTAAGAGACTAGGCTGTTAGAGGTCAGAGAGAGCCTCAAGAACTGGGCACAGCCATGAGTGGCAGAAACCGTGGGCTGGAGCAGTGACCGTGACTGCAGGGCTGGGAGGGAGCCTGCCAGGGGTTCGGGGCTGTGCAGGCACCACACACTCACCTCCCATTCCTGAGGGGGAGACCAGAGACCCCTCAGCCATCATGTGAGGACGACCAGGACTCCTCTTCCCCACCCCTGCAGGACTAGAGCTCACCCAAACACCCCGGCCACCTCCATCGAGAGACCCCACTCCTGTTAATGCTGCCGTAGGGCAAAGCTTCCGCTTTCCTTTCTCGAAAGGCTGGGTCACTTCCTCCCATTCATCAGCTCTTGACCACAGTTTCCTTCTGTCACCTCAGAAATCACGTTTTCTTCCTGGCGCCCCCCCAGGTTCCTTCTTTCATCTAAGGACAATCTCTCTTTGCTAACACAAAGGGAGGAAGGTGAGCATGTCGGGCCTTTCGTCTTGTTTGCACAGGAAAACCTGCCCTCACCTGCCACTACTCAGCCTACAGCCTGTGGTTCCCAGCCCTCACCTGCCACTACTCAGCCCATGGCCTGTGGTTCCCACAACGTTCTTAGAGCTCCCTTTCCTGCCCTAAATTCCAATTCTCAGACTGTTGGATAAGCCAGGAGTCCCTCCTGGCTCCCCTAAACACTCTCCAGCAAAAGTGCCAGCAACTGCAGGCTTTCCTGTTCTGTTGCTCCTCGGGTCAAAGTGTACTGGGGAAGGCAGCTCCATAGTGTACTTTAGAAATCCCATTAAGTCAAATCTTTTATTAACTATAGCCTCTCACTTCCTAACCAAGCCAGGTAGTTATCGGACTTTGTTTTTTTTTTTTTTTTTTTTTTTTTTTTTCTTTTTTTTTTTTTTTCGTGTCCGGCAACGGATC